AGTGTGTCCATGACTTAGAGTGCCCTGGTTTTGTTAATAGCATTTGGCTTATCTTTAAATTTGTTCTATGGTGCTGTTAGCTCTCTCTGATGTCAACTAAGGCCGACCTTTATTGGAAACTATTTTCTGTTTCTATTGAGACTTAATGAAGACAGACGGCAACATGTATTTGAAGAAACATCTTTACAAGATCCTCTGTTGTACAAATGATGGCGAAGTGCAGAGTATGAAAGATAATGCATCAATTATAGATGGGACATCTGATCCAATTTTCAATCAATCAGTAACAGTATTTAATTTGATAAAAATTAACTAGTGTTTAAAATAGTCGTCCCCTCTATCTTTTGTCATTTAGTGATGACAATTTTAATGTAATAGATCCATTTTGATATCTTGAACATTTGAACTTGTGTAATTACTTGGTGAGAATGGATTATGAACTATTTTGTATTTATGGAAATGATTGTTTAAAAATTTAATGATGTAAACTATTTGTATACAAACATTAAATCACAACACCTTTTAGTTGTTCTTTTCTTAATATAGCAACATGGTAAACTCTCGATGGAAAAATCAGATTTACAACAAATTTTATTTTCTAAACATGCATAAACTTTCTTCTCTCACTTCTCCCCCCACCACATTCTCTTGCTCTTTGACTGTTTTTCATGTGGAAATGGTTTTGGTGAACTTAGTTTCAAATTATGGGTCTCAGGATTTCCAATATTTACAATTTATTTGAGAGGTTAGATGCTTTTTCACATAAATTAACTTTATTCTGCTTTATCTTAGTCCTTTTATGATTAATAACTGCTTACTGGATAGACATTTTTAATATTCTCATTAATTCATGCATTCATTCTGTATTTCGTAAGCATTTATTGCTTGTACTGCACGTACAAGACAACATGCTAGTCCTGAAAGGCTTGCACAGTATGTCATCCCATTTCTGTACTCAAAGAGTTCATCTTCCAACAGAAGACGTGACTCATACACTCAATATAAGGTCCTATGAAATAAAAAAGATCAAAATAAAGTTTAGAGAAAGATAAGTGTGTTCTATGTGGATTATGTCAATTGGTAATGCCAGTTTTATGACTCATGGTCTAAACTGCTTGTCTTTCAATGAATGTGTTACCTGAATCACTTTTTCTTATCTTATTTTGTTAAAATAATTAAGTACAAATATTCAAGTAATCTAAGTAGATTCTTACATATAATGTATACTTACAAGAATACTGTAATATACATTACTACAAGATATAATTAACATTTAGTTATTCTTAATCTCTGCTTAATGTAATTTAATTTCTTTAATCTTAGACTTGAATAGAACATAAATTTCTAAATTATACTGGATATTTTCTTTAAATCAAAATATGTTACAGGGGATAAACAGCGACTGACTTTAGAGCAGTGGACCATCAATGGTCCTTGTAGGTGTTCATTCTCCAGTTTTAAGGAGCATTCCATAAGAATTAATCATTTGATTTTTACTATTGGAACTTTTCTATTTTAGAAATGTTTGGATGGAATATACCAAATTAGAAGAGGAAGTCAACCCACACACGTTTGTTTTAATGTTTTGAGATCTGATTTAAATATGATCAGTATTTGAAGAAGAGAGAAAACCAACATAATTTCAGAAATTCACACACATCATTCTGGGCTGTATAGTCTTTGACATGGCCTTTGGAAAAAATCTCTTTATATTGATTTACTTTATCCTAAGGAAGTTTTAGAAAATGGTGTATATTTATAATAGACACAGTCTTTAAACCTCTCTCATAATTTTTTTTTACTTTTTTTATATTTCTTTTTAATCCTTTTTACTTAAAACAAACAAACAAACAGACATCTCTATCTCCCACAACAAGATGAGAAGTCTACATATGTGTTTGCTCTTAAAACTCTCCTACCTTTCTCTACCTTGACCTCATCATTTCAGTGTTATCTAGAAACTTAATTAGGGATTAGTACATGTATATATTTTTTCTTTTTCTTTTCTTCAAATTTAACTGTTTTTAAATAACAACAACAAAAAACCTCCAACAAGATACTTATTCATCTATCTACCATACTATAAATTTATCTTATAGTTAAAATTCATAATATTTACTTACTCTGAAGGCAATCAGTGGCCTGATGAGTGGCCTAATGCTGGTCTCCAGTATGTTAAAATCTGTGCATAGTGGTTGTTTCATTGCAAACTTAAAATTCCTTCTCAATTTTGTGAATTTGAATCAAGCATTTGTGTACCATTTGAAGTCCTCGGTAGAATACATTTTTTTCTTCACTAAGATATTTAAGTACTTTCACTTCATATATCTCATATAACGTCTCTTGGGTTTTCCCTCTCATAATTTGCTGGGTTGAAACATTTTTCTGTACTGCTGATAGAGGTGTGTCTAAAATAACTAATAAAAAGTTTGTAAACTGTGAGATACTATCAGTCTCCTTAATGGGATTTATTTCTAAATAAATTCTTTCAGAATTGCTGGCAGATAAAATAGATTTGAGGGCTTTCTGTTTTCCTTTGACCTTCTGTTTTCGTGGCTTAGTTCTCACTTATCTCAAATCGGCCAAAGCTGAAGCAATTATGCCCCAATTTGTTAGCTGGAACCTTTTTAGCTTCTTATTCCTTTGGCAGAACTTTTATATTCTGTTCCCTTCAGAGACTTGTTATCTGAAGTATGTCAAAATATTTAAAGATGTTAGTGATTTGAGATACTTTCCTTCCAAGAGGGCACATTAACCTTTGACGATGGCCCTCGATTGTTACCTAAATTCTTAATTGAACAAAACTCTTTCTTCAAAGGAGTGTCAATTATAGGAGATACAATAGCAGACCAAGAGGTGTTTGGCACTGAAAGGTCTTTAAGTGACTATGAAATGTCTTTGGTCATTTCTGAGTTTAAACAGACCTCACTTGGAGTTTCTCAGATGTAAAATGTTACTCTGTTTGTTTCCTAATCACTGAAGCCTCTATCACTATGTGAAAAGTCGATTCACTGGGAAGTCATCTTAAAAAGTACAAATGATCCCCTCTTTCAGAGATGCATATTCAGCAACAAAAATTCCGTGATTCGATCCAGCTGATTTTAAGAGTCGGACAATTTACATATCCACTGTTATCAAAGAAAGCACGGAAGGCATTTCTGTTTCCTGCCACAATTCTTCCTTCCTGTTTTAGTTATGAGCAAAAGATGCTAGAAATGACTGTACATCATCTGTCTTCCACTTCTGTCAAGAAAGGAATGTCGTTCAGAGATCATCTGGAACTTGTCTGACTTTGCTAATGTAGCGCAGAGCAGTTCTAAAAATAAAGACAGGATTGTTGAGTCCATTAGGAGCAGCTCATTTCGTCATTGTTGTTTTTCGCCTGTAGCCTTGTGCCTTGTATGGTGGTTTCTGTTTCTCAGAACAAGTCTAAGAAGAGCCATTCTGTTCCTGTGCTCTGGGAATGCTGGAGTACAGAGTCTGTGTTTTTGAGAATAATGTTTGGCTCCCACAAGGAGCCTGTGTTCTGCAAGTGTAACGTTTGATGCATATAAGGAGGAATAGCATCCATGGGAATTGAGGCAGAGAAATTGAATAGAAATGCCAGAGTCAAATAAAAAAGTGTTTATTGATATTACATTGAATCTTTTAGTAGAAAACATTAAATTAGCATAATTAAACAGGAGGTCTGAATTGCTGTCTCGTTTTTGCCTGATGGGGAAAGTCAGCATGGATTTTATGGCTATCAGGAAATTTTAGTTATCTTTTCATATCCAAGGCTACCAGACTTTGAGGCAGCAACCCACTTTATCTGGGCTTATCTGTAGTTACTCTAAACAAATAAGGATTCCTACAGAATACAATCTTACAATATATACTGAGAGACAACACAGAAATGTCGTAAGACCTCGGTAGTTGTATATATGATAGTTAATAAATGTTCTCTGTTGTCTGTTGAAGTTAAGGGGAGGACCACACGATTATTAGTGATCTTATGATTCATTTTACCTGTTAAGAGTTGGTTCTATATCTTGGTCTTCCTTTTTTTCCTTTTTAGATATTAGCTCAATCATGCACTGAAGTCCTGGAATTGCGGCCCTCGAGTGTCTGTGTGGGGGGTAAGTGGTTAGAATTTAAAAATACCAAGTAAGAAATTGTACTTTTTTTTCCTAGTTAAAATATATGATTTGAAACTCATGTTGGAAAGAGAATGGCAAAATTAACTTTTTTGGCATCTTTTTCTGTAAGAATTTTTAAATAATTCCTTGAAATATTTCTATTTTAAATTCAAATTTTTAAGATTGGAGTGTTATTTTAAATAATGAACATATTGTGTGACAGGCTTTTAAAATCTTCTGTATATTTAGTTCATGTTTGAGACCTTTCCTCTAACAAGTAAAATAAAATAGGAATTTTCCCTTTTATCTGATTATACCAACAGTCATATATCTGTAGACTTTGGGCTCCAGGCCTTGGTGACCTGGCCAAAGTACAATATCTACCAGCTTAGGGCCCATAGAAAGTGATTTATGGGTGGATGACAGGGAAGAACCAGGTGGCTTCACAGCTGGTGCTAAGAACAGACTCAGGTTTTAGCACTTTCAAGCCATCCAACCCAAAGAGAGTGTGATTCTCTCTGGCCTGTTCTAGTTCTTCTTCAAGTCTGACCTGCAGTTTACTTTAAGAAGGAAGGGTAGGAAATGTGCTGTGCAATTTACCACAGAGCTTCCCAACTGCTGGATGTGGGATGAAGTTCTGCATCTTTTAGACTCTCTAATGAAAGATTATTGAGTTATTTAAGAGGAATAATGGATCTGAATATTCCAGAGCAGGATGGGATTCTTTGCGTTTATAATTTTACCTAATCCTCATAACAGCGCTATTTGACAGTTCTATAATCCCTGGTTCACAGATGGGGAAACCGAGGCAGAGACAGGTTCAGTACTTGCTGTTAGTAGGTGTCCTATTAGACTCTTGTCTGTCTGACTCCAGAGGCTCATGTTCCTTTTACTGAGTTACATTTTAACTTTAAATGCATGACACTTTATTTTAACTTGTAAGAAAATTTCCTTTCATAACACACTGAATGGAGAGTGGCATGGCAGTATTTTCTTTCGCAGTTAATTACCGTAAATGTGCTAGATTATCTTGGGTAGGAAGTCTTTGAGAAGACTGAAAGTCAATCAGTGTTGAAATAGTTGAGATACCTTCTTGTAGCAAAGCAGCATACATTTAGTTGCCATTCAAGACATTTGATCAGTTAACTTTTCTTCTAGCATGTTATCTCACCCTCTGACATTTAGTGACTGCTCCTCTTACACAGAGTACAAGCTAAATCAGCTTTCTTCAGTGATGGCCATAGGTTATTTGTCCAAAATGCATGACGGTTGATGAGTTATAAGGTTGCATGCAACTGAAAATAAAACTGGGATTAGGGACATGGAGAAACTGTTAAAGAACTCTGTGTGGAGTGTCAGAGATTAAAGAAAACATAACACACGACTGTTCAAAGAACCAGAGAACCTGAGGCATTAATTTCTTTAAATTCGCATACCTCAGTACCTGACAGGAGACAAAAACACAGTTTTCTTTCCTGCAGATATTTTCCTAAGATGGCAAGTTCTTTCCTAAGAATTTGAGCAAGATTCTGTCGTGTCTGTCTGGAAATGACCGTGATGCTTCAATTCTAATATCTTGGTCACTATTGGAAAACACTTTGTTTAAAAATAAAATAATGGGTCTCCGTGTGACAGTGAGTGGTAGTGTCACCGCATTTCCCTAGAGGGTCGAAGAAAGTGAGAAGAGCTCATCTTCCTTGTTACTAGTTGGCTGAATAGAAATAAGAAATTCATTTTGTGCATCTTGATCCTTTTAAGTCATGTCTCTTTGTTATTTTTTGTAAAGCAGTGATTAAAATTTTTATTTTCCCTTTTACTTCTAGAGGAATTTCAGATTGTTTTGACCGGAAGAGGATTCAACTTGGGCAGCCGGAATGGCAGTGTTCTCTGTACTTACACTGTAAATGAAACATACACAAAGAGTAGGTCCTCGTGGTCTCAGTGTTGCTTGAATATCTGCACAGCGTATCGGTGACAAGAGTTTTCCTCTTTTCCCCAAATGGAACTGTGCTATATGTATGTTTTTAATCAGTGAGGAGAGAAATGAAGTCCAGTTGTAATACCAAGTAGTAATAATAATTAGTTAATGGTTATTGATAGTGGAAACATTTGCTCATAACTTAGTATTTGCTGGACCGTATCCTGAGTAGCCTTTTTTATACAAATGATGGGCTAGTGGCTGAAAGAGTCAAATAACTTGCCTGCGGGGGCACAACAAATAATGAGCAGAGCTGAGAGATGAACCCAGTTTTCCTGACTGTCTTCTGTATGGACTACATGCACTGCTTGATTTAATTGCCTTTCTCCAGATTTATTTCTTGTCACTTTTGCCTGAAAATCTAACTATCTTGGACTACTTTATTATTTATTGCCTTATTTTATTGTCACTTGTTTTCTTCATCTAATTTTCCAATAATTTGTCAGCCAGTTTCTTGAAGACAAGCTTTTTGCCTTACAGATACATTATATCTTCAATGCCCACCCAGCACAGTGTTTATTGATAATTATCATATTTAGGAAATTAGGTTTTATTTTTCCCTTGCTTGGCTTTCAAAAAAGCAGATGAGTATAATGTTTTCATCTTCATTCTGAGTAAAAACTCCTCCTCCTTAAATAGATCTTAGTATTCGGAGCATTCTGGGTCTCTACTGAGACATTTTCTCCTCATTGACGATTACGTTGTCTTCTAAGGTTTTATACTCTACGGCAGATGCTACGATTCTGTGAACTCTGGTGGAATTATTTTTTGAGAGGTTCATCTACAATTTTATTGTTTATCTAATGGTTCTAAGCCCTCCGGTTAGCGCAGCTTTGGCTGCATACGCAGTAACTGCTCAATATGTGTTTGTTTAATTGAAGTGTGAGGATCTCAGCATGGTAAATGCCATGATTAATTCCTCTCTTTCCTATCCGATCGTCATTTTAGTAAGGCAAGACAGTGATATTTGTAACAAACTCTCTTCCTAGTAGGTTCTACAACTGAAAAGGACAGAATAATTTTAGTGTTCTTATTCAGTAGTCATCTGTATCTAGGCGTTAGCTTTACCTAACTCCTTTGGATTACACATTTAAGTTGATTACACTATAAACATATTTTATACTTAGCTATATAAGGCTAAATTTATTAAAGTAAATCCTCAAATGAATTAAATCATACTGTATTTTATTTTCATCATTCACCTTCTAGGATTATCCATTTGATTATGTAACTTTTCTGAATATTTATAGTCTAGATAATTTTTCTCATAAATTCTTAAAATTACAAGGGCAGTGTAAACATTCAGCTTTATAAAATGTATTTATGTATTATAGACATAATTATTTTAGTAAACTCTTAAAATAAATTTATTATCTTTTGGACATTTGTCTTCTTTACTCCATCATTTTTAAATTGTGCTTTTAAAATATATATCACTTATCCTTAACAATCTAATATATTAGCATAATGAGGAGGAAAGTTGATAATTTTATAGTATCTACAAGCTGCATGTGAACTTACTCTACATCAAAAAAATCATAATTTATATTTACCAATATTATATATCAATGAGGCATATAATCTCTATTTTTCATTCTCTGTTCCTTCTCATCTTTCTCTAGATGAGTATCTTTTTGGTTTTTCATGCTAATATAGCTAATGTTCCACACTTGAACTCTGATTGCTACATCTCTTCATATTATTAATGAAAATGTGTGAGATACATAAAACCCTTTATTAATTCAATGGCATTTTATTTTCCAGGTGTAATGCCGGTAAGTGTGGAACGTAATTCTATGCTTTGCCCTGCACCTGCCCTGCATGAAGTTGGAGAGTAAGTATTTCATTAAAAACATTTAAGAACTTTTTAGGTACAAATTAGGAAACGGTGACAAAATATACGTTAGTTGTTTTATTTTATCTTTTCTTGATCTGCAGATTAAATATGAAATAGTAAACACTAGGCCAATTACTGTGGTTATGATTTAACTATACATATTCTTAGTAGGTTGAAAATGGTAAAGCCTGTTTTATCTTGTTTCTTAAGTATTGATTAAAAGGCTCTATAAATATTTAAATGGATAGGATTGGGAACTATTGTTATGGCCTTTAAATGAGCCACAGCCATTATTTTGGACTGTAGAGTATTGAATTTACACACACACACACACACACACACATTTCAAAGTGGGATTTTGATGAATTACCATAGTATTTAAGTATAAAGATTAAAAAGCTGAAGGCTTAATAAAGCATACCTTAGTCTAGGAAATATTTGTTCTTTAATTGATGTTCCAGTCCTGTTAATGTCTATATTTTCATGTTCTTTGGTGTGGTAATAAACCATAATGATAGCTGGTTAAAATAAAGGATGTTTAGTTTGGAAGGGTTTTTATTTTAATCATCTATACACAGATAATTTTACCAGCAACTTAATATTTCCATTTGCAGTTTTTTCCCCTGCCTTCTCTACTATGAAGGAAATAATTGCAAATAGTTCAAATGCTCTCTAGTTCAACAGTAGTGGATGCAATACGTTTAGGATAATGAATAGAATACAGTTTTCAAGAATCACTTTATACTGATCTTGCACCTAGAGCAGAGAAAACTAAAAAATATAAGGCCCTAGTCCAAACTCTGATTTAGTGTTCAGAGAGTGAAGACTGTGTTTTCCTTTGTGACCTAAGAGAATCATTTTAGTAGTTTGAAATTGACTTGAGCAGTTGACTTTTGTGGATGCTTAAATATTCAAGCTGTTGGACATCACTTCTCATCATCCAAGGAAACTGGAGCGGTGTCAGCTTTCTATTTTAAATCCATTAAAAGTCTGGATAATATGACTTATAAAAGCAAGACTACCAGAATCGTTTTTATTTCTATAAGAAAGTATTTATTTTCTGTGTCATGTAGTAATCTTGTCTTATTGATAACATGCTTATGGCTCAATTAGACTGGCCTTGGAGTTCGAGGCAGGTCCATTTTGCATGGAGCCATCTTTACCCGAGGGGCACACTGGGGCTCAGTGGCTTTCTGAGTTATAATGTCTCATATGATAGCAGTATTAAATCTATTGACTTCAAGTTTGGTCTTATTTTATTGAATCTGTAATTCTGTACTGATGTTCCTGATTGCCCCCCTACCAGTCTGCTTTCAGAGCTGCCTTCTGTGTCTTAGCCACTGGCAGCCCCGTCCTTCCTGTTGTTCAGGTAACCTTTGAGTTGTTACTGATCTCTTACACACAGCCAGTCAGCAAATCTCAGCTCTGCTTTCAAAGTGTGTTCAGAATGCAGTCCTCCCCACCACCTGCACTGATGGCATCCTAGACCAAGCTGCTGCCTTCTCTTGCTTAGTGTATCCACCTCTCAACTGGGCTTTCTGCCTCTGTCCTTGGCAAAAGGGATCCTGTTCAAACAGATCAATTTATGTCGCCCCTGGAGGATGAGCTCCTCATTACATTCAGGGTGAACGCCTCATCACTGCAGTGTTCCTCGGGGTTCCTCAGGATTTGGCCCTCTCTGTGTCTCCAGCTTCATCTTCTTTTTGCCCCTTCTGTCGTGGTCACACTGGCCTCTTTGTTGTTCCTTAACCATGTGGGCTTCCGCCCACACCAGCACTTTTTACACATGCTGTTCTCTGCTTGAAATACTCTTCCCCTCATGTCTCACTCTCTTTTCTCAACTTCTTCAGGTTTTGTTCAGATGTCAACTTCTCAGTAAGCCCTTCCCGGTCACCCTAATCAGACAACCTCCCCCTGTCTTGAGTTTAACACTCTCCATTCCCTTTTTAAGGTTTACTTTTTCTTCAAAGCATTTATTTGTTTGTTATTGTGTCTCCTTCTTGTTAGGAATGAATTTTGTTTGTTCCTTGCTGTGTCTCTAGCACCTAACGCCATGCCTGACACACAGCAGATTCACTGAATGTTTGCTACGTGAAAGAATGAATACATTTTTCTCAAACATTTTGATTTACTGTGTATAGAAGGAGCTAACAGTGCGTTTGATGTCTGGGTATATCAGGTAGGAGAAAAGTCCTCGGAATTCTGTTTGGAAGGTCCTACCATTGCAGAGAGCCCAAAACTATCTTGGCTTTTTCATAGTAACGACTAGTTCAGGGGGGACAGCTTTCTTTTTTCTCCGAAGTGGTTATAGAATGCCTGTCCTGTTCGGCACTGAATTTGTTTTCTCTAGAATTTGCCTTGGGGCACAGTCTCTTTTTGAAGAGACTACCATGGAGAATTCTGATATTCTTTAGTGACTGGTAGATTGGCTAAATACTCCGGAGATGTGATTTTTAATAGTCATGTAAGATGTAATAAGTATCAGGCATGAAAAAATCATCATTTGTTTGGCTTTTGATGTTAATATTTCACCTACAAGCAAACTGAGAATGTTTTGGAAGGAGAGCTGTCTAAAATAATTACTTTGACTTTCCTTTTTTTTTTTGTTAAGTACAAAAAAACCACTGAGGCAAAATTTACGAGATTTTATTTGTTACTGTACTGGCTATTCGATGATATCGTTATTTGTTCTCCTAAGTATGTTGCAAGTAGTTTGGACCTTTCCTCTGTTTGAATTTTCTTCAGATATTTTTGTGGATGATGAGCTGTCATATGAGATTGGATTAAAATCAACACAACTGAAACCATTTAGCCTTGTAAGGTGACTGATGCTTAATATGTTTGTCTAATTAGCTTTTGGCTAAGGATTCAAACCCATTAAGTAGCTAGTTAGTCTATGTTTCAAATAAACACATCTGGCCCCACAATGAACGAAGGCTTTTCCTATGCGAGGGTGACAGATGTGGTGATGGTTCCCCTTATTCTCTCACTTAAATAATTCACAACATGCTGGTGAAGTAACCCTAGACAGCCAGCCTCAAAGCCAGATGCATCGTCTCAGAGCTGGATCCATGGACACGTGCCTCATCTCATTAGCGTGCTCTTTCAGTTCCTTTCTCGTCTTTCTGTTACTTCCTGCATTACATTTTCTTCAAGCATTGTTTGTTTCAACACCCAGGGCTCATGAATTTTGGTTCAAAAGAGAGTTAACATGAAGAAGTTTACTTGGAGATGGGGCCTAAGAATGTAGCAAAGTAGCTGGAACATGGGTTTGCATTTGGAAATTGATGTCATAGAGTAAACAAAAGCTAAAGCTCTCTGGGCAATCTTGTCCAGGTATCTAGCATTGCTGGAATGGGTCTTTGAAGTACCTTCTTTGAGAGCCATCTCTGTTAAATTTCTCTATTTGGTATAGAATTTCAGACTGAGATAAACAAATTCTTAAAATTCTGTTTAAATACAAACAGAAAGAAGGATGGTAGTACTGAGATTATTCTTTTCTATTTTTTCCACTGGATATAATTTAATTTTAAAATGTCATATGGTTAAATCAATTGTCTTACCTAAAAAACATCTGTAGATTGTTTGGGAGTTAATTTCTGCCAGTGGTTCATTCACACCAAAACCTCCTAAGTGTGAGTAGGAAGGACTGTGTGAAGTTCTGTGAAGCTCGCCCATCTGAGGGCGCTCACCTCTTGGGCTGATGTGCAGGCGTCATCAGTTCTTGCAAAATGGGCTTGTTCTCTGAGCCTTGTTTAGTGAGACTTCGACAATAGCACAGCTGCTCTGGAATAGTTGAGATCTCAAACCTGTAATTTGGCAAGAAGAACAGAGCAAATTGGGTAAATATACATAAACACATTGTAAAGAAAGAAAAACAGAACAGAATGAACCAGAGCCTTATCCTACAGCTTGTCTGATAGAGATGATTTAAGGAGGCATATGGTATAGTTAAATGTGCTTTCAGAAACATTGGCCAGAATCTTCTGGCAAATATGAAATAAATATCTAAATCAGATGAAACTGATAGTATTAGTTCTCTTAAAAGGCAGCGTGGGAAGACAGTTGACAGAAGTGGTGGGACATCAGCGTATGTGGAACATTTTAAGCATCTGATACTGAAGAATCATTGAGATGGATGTGTGGCAGACTTGGGGTTAGTGCCTGACTTGGTAATAGAGTCTTTGTGTTCTCCTTAACATTGTTACTTTTTCAATATAATTCATTTTGCCTGGAATAACACTGATTAATTCTATTTCCCTTTCTTGGTTGAACAAAACTGCCTTTTTAGCACAACTTCTCACATGAACACTTAAAATATATATACCACTATATGTATGTTAGGTGAACATATTTTATCAGATTTTTTTTTTGAGAATGAGGCATGACTTTTTTAGAAAAGTTAAACACACCACACACACACACACACACACACACACACACACACAAACACAAACAGAGGTGATCAGTTGGTCTTCAGCAGATGACTTGGTGGATGAAGCTGCTTATGGCTACTCTGGTCTTCTCCCCCTTCCCTCCTTGGTCAGGGTCCAACTTGAAGCAGCACCATAGCTGCAGGGCTCCATTTGGGCTCGTGGTAGGACTTAGGACTGATCTGAGCTCAGCCGCCTTGGCCACGGTTGGGTACTTCCAAATAACCAGCTGGTTCTGGGCAAAGCCATGGCCTGAGACGAGCTTCTTGTAGTGGGGAGACCAGAAGATGGAGTGCACTCAGGAACATCCACAGCACTCACCCTAGATGCACATGTGTAAATCACTGGGTCTCCTTCCAGCTGCCAGGACATCGGGCTGCCGCGGAGGCCCAGCTACAGCTTGCACAGCCCATTGATGCTGGGTGAATGCCTGCGGGCAAATCCAGCCATCCACTCTAGGCCACACGCTGACCAAATGTCCTTCATCTGCATATCTATGTAGTCCCCAATTCCATTATCTTAGTAGCAGGTGATGCAACACAACTTTGTTCTTTCTTCTGTTCC